GGGGGGGGGGGGAGAGAGAGTGTGAGAGAGAGATCACGCACTGGAGCCACCAAGAGGAAAGCAGATGTGGGGGGTGGGGGGTGGGGAGTGTGTGGGCAGGCAGAGGGCTGCGTGGCCCCCTTTGCTTGTGCAGGGCCGGCTATGCCTCAGCGTCTGGCTCGATTGTTGCAGGCTTCCTCCCCGGCCTGGATCCTTCATGCTGCAGGACCAGGGGAGCCCATAGAGGGAAGGAGGCCGGAAAGGACACAACCTGCCTGGAGCCCGTGGAGCAGTGGCAGTGACCGGTGACTGTTGCTTGGGTCTCTGGCGTGACTTATATGTGTGTGTTTTGGGGGCGGGGAGGGAGGGAGAGGAGAAGGGTCTTAATTTGATGCTTTAACTGATCACTAGCAGTTGACAGGTCATTCATCCCAGTTGTATAATTGAAAAAGGACTTTTCTACCAGGTATGCTCTTTTAAGTTAAAATCTGAATTGTTCTAAGTGGGAAGAAAAACGTTGAAACGTATGCTCTTCACTGGGGATATTCTTCTAGGACTAGTTGGGGAGAGGTGAAAATGACCTACACAAGGGGATGAGCCCAGAGGAGAAAATGAGGTGGAGGCATTCTGGAAATGCTGCTGAGTAGGGGGTGGCCTCCTCAGCAGGGGATGAGGGAAGGGAGCAGCTTAGCTGGTCTTGGCTTTCAGCTGCATCGCAGAAGTTGCCAGTGTGGTCCCAGCCACCAGGGCTGGCCATGGACATGGCCCCTGCCGGCTCGCCTGCCCGCCAGCCCCTCCTAGCACTTGCAGACCTGCCTGAACGCACATGATATTAGCACTTACCCACCTGCGTGTGTCCAGAAGTGGCCCTTGGCAGAGCACTGAACTCGCTCACCCCTAGAAGTCCAAGTGCCACGTGAACTATGCAATTTAAAGGGTTGACCCACACTAGACAAAACTGGACTCGTACGACTCTTTTTATATTTTTTATACTTGAAATGAAATCCTTTGCTTCTTTTTTAAGCGAATGATTGCTTTTAATGTTTGCACTGATTTAGTTGCATGATTAGTCAGAAACTGCCATTTGAAAAAAGAAGTTATTTTTATAGCAGCAAAAAAAACCATACAGTTAAATGTATTATACATAATTTTGGAACCAAAGAGGCCAACAGATCAGTTTTAATTTTTATTAGATGGTGAGGCCATCTTATATGAGGTAGACGTTCTGAACAATCCCTTGAGTGGCCTGCCAATGTTTCAGGGTATAAATGGATTTTGTTTATTTAGTTTGATGTGTCTTTTCTATCCTCACACACCCAGAAGGTAGAGTAAAAATGAATATGGTAGAATGCAGGTGTGTATCCTTAAATCTCCATCTTTATGTTTATTTAATAAAGCTCCCCTTAGGTTCTGTTTCATAATAATTTAAAACCAAACAATTTTCCCATAGACTTGCTGTTAAAGTATTTTACATTTGTGTACAGTTTAAGAAAATAAAGGACTGAGTGCACCGGCTTCCTGCTTTGTGTGATGTCTGGGGGGTAGGGTCTGGGCTGGGGATGGGGCTGGAGGTGGTGCTGGGAGGAAGGCCGGTCCAGGTGTCCAGCTTCGATGCCAGTTGCCTGCATGGCTCGCTCCTGGCGCACTCTGAGTCCTTGCCATGAGCACGATGTCAGAGAGTCTAGGAAAAATGGCAGGAGATCAAAATGAAGGACAATTAGCAAATTCATGAATTACACATTTGTTTACTCTTCTAGTTTCAAGACTAATTATATTTCACCGAGGCTGCATCTATTACCATCTGAAAGTGCCAGTTAAGCCCCCATCCCTGGAAGGAAATGGAAGACCTGGGAGGCTGCAGCCCACCTGACCTCCATGCCCAACTCTGTTTACTGATAGAGATTACTGGAACCCAGAGGAAGCTAGTGTCTTGGTGTAGAAGGACAAACAAGGCCGAGAGTATGCTAATTGTCATTTTCTGTTGTAACTGTTGGTAGCTGGTGGGGGGTGGGGGTGGGGGGTTGTAAAGATGTCCCACTGCAAATGCAGCTATGACTTGAGATACCCACCAAGTGCTGTAATCATGCAGCCCTTATATTCTGGGAAATGGTCTCATCTTCATTTTCCAGAGTTTGGAATCTGAGGCTCAGAAAGGTTCAGTGCTTACCTGAAGTCACACCGTTGGGACAGACACCCTGGGCATTTGAGCCCAGGTGCCACAGCTGGTCCACCTGGGAGGACAGCAACCCCAAGGCCTTGCCTTCATCTGAGGCCCTGCAGGGCCAGTGGGGTTGCTTGGGTTTTGGGTCACATGTGGTCTTCCCAGAAAAATCTCAGGACATTTGAGCAGGTAGGACCTTAGGGATTATCTAACCTCGTTAAGGTAACAATGGGGAAAAGAGTGAGGCCCTCTGTAGTTGGAGGGGCATACCTTAATTTACACAGCCAGTAGGTGAGAGGAGGCAGCCTCTGGCCTCTGTCTTTTCCCATTCTTTGTCTACCCAAGAGAGCTGCTCTGCCTGGTTTTCATCCTGAGGGGTAGATTTATTTATCTGCAAAGTCTTGACGCAGTATAAAAATTAATGGGGGCAAAGAAGGAAATGTCATTTAAACAGGCCTGGCCTCTGTGCAGTGGGCTGGGACCAGCTGCTGGTTGCTTTAGGCCCTCAGCCCAGTCCCTGCTTGACCCCTGACCCAGGACTTTTTGCAGGCAGCCTCCAGGAGGGGCAGCACAGCACGAGCCACCAGGGGTGCCTCTGCTGTTTAGGTATTGAACACTTCTGGGGACTCTCCTGGGCTGAGCTTCACAGGGTGGTCCATGGGTCCCACAGAAGCCCCAGGAAGGGCCTGGGATTCCACAGTCACGAGGCCAGTGGACTGGCAGGTGTGGTCCCTGCTTGGTGTTCTGCTGCCCTGTGCTGGCATGTGTCCCTGTGGGGTCTAGGCCCCTGGGACAATGGTGGATGGCAATTACCATTTCCGAGAGATGCAGGGAGGGCAGGCATGCTTCCCCGTCCCAGGGCGGGGCATTCTCCAGCAAGGTCATGAGCTTCCTCCCTGTGCTTCTGTGGTCACTGGCTTCCTTGTGCCTCCTCTCTCAGTCCTCAATCCTTTTCTTCCAATTGCTCTTTCCCATTCTCTCCCCTTATCTTCCCAGTGGGCCTGTCCTGAGGCCCCCACCTCTCCCTGGAGATGCCCCTGGAGCCCTACTGCAGGCCTCTAGAGCAAGCCTCCCCACTGTCCCCAGGTCCACTGCCTTTGACCCAGAGCCCCCCTGCCCTGCTTTAGGGTTCCTCTCCCCTCCTTCCCTTCCTTCCTTCTTTAGGCCACTAGGCTGTTAGCCTCTCAGGACCAGTGGGTCAGGCAGGGCCAGCCAGAGACAGAGGCTGCCGCCCCCACCTGCTGCCAATGTCTCCACCACCCACCCACCCGCTTTGATTCGTGAGATCCCACCATGCTGGATTCATCCTTGGCTAACCTTCAGACATGCCCTGGATCCTCAGCAACTCAGTGGGGTCCAAGGCTGGGTGGGGGAGGAGAGCGCTGGGGTGAGGGGAGCTCCTGTACCTCCTCTATCTTCTCCCTCATTTCCCAGACAACGCAGAATGAGGGTTCCCACTGCAGCTCCAGGCGAGGGCCTTGGGGAGCAACTCAGGCAGCTCTTGCATGTGGCTTGACCCCTGACCCACCTGGCACTCAGGCTGGCCCAGCACCCACATAGCATGCACTCTGCAGGGCCCTGTGGGAATGCTTGCTGGGACCCCCAAGGGGCCTGGCAGGCCATTCTGCCTCCCAGAGCCCGGCAGCTGCCAGGGCAGGGACAGGAGATGAAGGGGAGGGATGTCCACAGGCTGCCACCAAGCCACGGACACTGTTGTGGGCTGAAGAGAAGTGCGCTTTTGCAGACAAAGAAGCACAAACAAAATACCCTTGCTGTGGGCAGAGGTGTTGGGAGCAACCCCAGCCCAGCTACTAGGCTTCCAATGAGATGTTTTCAGCAAATGACAAATGACCTGTGAGCTTTGCAAGAGGAGCTGGGTCTGCTGTGTGTGAGGTGTGGGGTGTGAGTGGGGTGGGTGTGGCAGGCTCTGGGTGTGCTTGGATGTGAAGGCGGTGGGTCTGGCTGTGAGTGGGAGTAGAGGGAGAATTGTGGGTGAGGTTGATTGATGTGATGTTTTGTGATTGTAGGTATGACTGTGTGCTGAGCCATGAGGCGTGCAAGACTGTGACTGCGGCTGTGTGTGATTGGCTGTGAGTTTGGGGTGTGTGGTTGGCTCACTGAGGTTGTGTAGGTGAGAGTGTATTTGTGTGGGGTTTGAGACTGTGTGATTGTGTGGTGTGGCTGCATGGTTAGATGTGTGCATTTCTTGCCATTTTCATTTTCTTCCTCATCAAGAGGTGATACACCTGGCCAGTTATGGACTTTGTGATTGGGGTGGTTATATTTTTAAATTTGGGCTTCTACTGGCTGGGGGGGACACAATCACCATTTTTCTGGCCTCTGTGGTTTGCCCTAGCTGTGGTTTCACAGCCCCTCCTGCCCTACCCTGGCCACTCATGCCAGGGGTCATCTTGGTGTCCTTGCAGCCCCCAAACTGGAGCACTTTGAAAGTGGAATGGTACCATCTGGCCAGTCATTCAGTCACTCAACAAACACTTCCTATGTGCTGGGAGATCATGCATCATCTCAGTTTAGTCCTCACAGAAGCCTGGGGGTGGAGCGGGAAGAGCCATCATTATCCCCACTTTACAGATGAGAAAATCAAGGCCAAGAAAGCCATTCCCTGAAGGTGGTACAGCTTATAAGAAGCAGAGCTGGGATTTCCCCCCAGGAGCTGTTTCCTGTCACTTACAGCGGCCGGGCTGCCCAGGAGGAGGGGTACGGGCAGACTAGGCTGTTCCGGCTTCTTTGGAAGAGAGGAGAGGCTGGGGCTCAGGGTTTTCTTGGTTTTTAGTTGGAAGGGGACTGCCTCTGCCCCTGCCCGTGACACCAGCTTGGCATGTCAATGGCATCTGTGCATTGGGCTGCTCCTCTCTCTGGTCATGGGGACAGACATCCATGTACCATCCCCACGCCCTCTGTGGCCACATGGGTGATGTAGCTGCTGGGCCCAATTCTAGTCAAATGGACTATAGATGGAGCCAAGCATGGCGAGGGCAGGAAGCCGGTGGCCTTGCCTCTGGGCCCTGCAGTGGGGAAGGAGGCAGCCTGGCAATCTCACTGAGAACAGGCACTGGAAGCATGGGCTTAGGGTCAGCCCATCTGGTTTTGTGATCCCAGCCTGACGTCACCTCTCAGTGTCCTCACCTATAAAATGGGGACAATGACAGTGCCTACCACGGGGCCCAGAGGCTCAGGGGATTGTCGTGAACATGTGGTTTCTAGCATGTTCCTCTGTGTTAGGAATAGTGTTGGATGCCCAGGCAGGGTGCCGCCGTTTCTCTGAGAGGCCTGCTCTGGAACCCCTCTTTCGTTCTCAGTTATTTATTCAGCGAATAGTCACAGAAGCCATGATGATGATGATGTTGGCCAACATTTTTTGAGAACTTACTGCCGTCAGATAGAGTGTTTCACCATGCCATCTGGTTAATCTGCTAGGCAGGTGAGGTGTGCCCGTTTTACTGATGAGGACGTTGAGGCTCAGGGAAGCAGAGCGTTTTGCTGGAGCCCTCATAGCTATTCAAGGGGAGGGGCCATGCCTGTGGCCTTCCAGATGCTGCCTCCAATCCCCACAATGTTCTCCATAAAATCTGGGGGCCTTGAGCCCCATGGGACTGTGGGAAGTGGAGGAGTGGGGAGGAGGGAGAGCTGCTGTAAGGTGGAGGGGCCCGGGGGCTGCTGAGGGCTGCTGTCAGGTAAATCTCAGAGAAGCCCCTCAGCTTCCCCTCAGCCCTCCTCCTGCGCCCCAGCCCATCCCCGTGGGGGGCACCTGAGGGTCCCTCTTCCGGGTGTGTGCCTACCTGCAGGTCCTACCTGGTGAGAATGGCCATTCCATGAGCAGGAATGGGGACCTGCCTAAGGTCATTGCAGATTCCTGGAGAAACTGAGGGGGTAAGGACCCATTGAAATGCTGAGAAAATGCACACTGACCACGTTTGCAAGCGGGATTTCAAGAATGGATTCTCAGACCCCTTAGAGAGACAGAAGGGGAAGGGGCAGGGGAGAAAGGGGGCAGAGACAGAGAGGATCTCAGAAGGAGACTTCATTACCTGCTCTCAGCCCAATTCCAGGGAGCTTCTAGCACCCCTGCCGTTCTCTGGGGAAGGGGCTTCAGGATTGGGACAGCATGGGTGGTCTTCAACCTTCCGGAGGAGGAGGTGGGTACACTCGCTAGATGGTGGGGGGATGCAGAAGCAGATGGGAGGTGTTGGCGGGAGGGTGGACCCAGAAAGCTCACACGACCTTTTGTAGTGGACATTCCTGGCTGCTAGTGCCTTACCTCTTGCCCCCTTTCCTGGTCTACCCTCTTCCCTTTTCTACCAGCCCTTCCAGCCGATTTCGATTCCCA